GCATAAGCGGCAAATGATATGGGCCAACGATTCCGTGGTTGAGCCACAATATCGACAGTCGGAGCAATCGATGAAATCGGCTGCGGCACGACGGTCGTTGGTGACAGTGCAACCGATAAGCTGGGACTTAAAATGCGGTTTTAATGACAGTTGGCTTCGTTGGACCTTGTATTTCCGCAAAATATATGTCTTGATTAAATATTGGTAGTATTTTAAAAAATACCTAAATTTAATAGTATTTTTATTTATATTATGAATTATAAATATCTATACATATTATGTTCTTTTTATTAATCGGAAGTATTACGCGTGTAATTTTAAATATATATTGTTTAATATAGGTTTGTCTTTTTAAAGGTATTTAGTTTATATAGGATTGGGGTATTCGATTCAATCGAAATATATTTATCTTTTGAAAATGATATGTTTAATTTCTATATGATACGAAGCATATGTCCGAAATATATTAGAATTAAATATCTCGATTTGGAAATTTAAAAAAAATATATATATATGATATTTATTTAGAATTGATATTAGGAAATGATAAATATTATTAAATATTAAAAATTGATAATAATTATATATTCCTGGAAAATACGACGCAATAAAATGAAATTATTGATTCGTAGGAATATATATTTATTCTTATGGATTAATAATATATATTATAATGATAAGAATATATATAATGATTTTATTGATAAATATTTAAATTTTTTATGAATCGTAATTTATGGATATTGATATAGAAATTTAGGATATATATTTATGGATATCATAGATTAATTGATTTTATGCATATTAGTCGTCTTAAAGATTTATGGTTCACATGAATTATTTTCTGATTGATAAGTCGGAATTTTCTTTTTTTATTGGTATTTTTATTTTGATAAATAAGGGGTAAGATTTCTATTCGTATATGTTTTCTTAAAAAATGAATGTTGATTTTTCTAATTATGGATTATTTATCATAATTGTTCCGTTTGCTAGGCACAATTGGATCGGAAGGCCTTTATTGTTTATTTTCGGAAAGAGTATTAGGTAGATTAGCCCTTCGAATTTTTCGTTTCGGCCTAATGGTATGATGGTTGGACGATTTGTATATAATTATTATTATTATATTTTTATGATGGATTTTGTATTTTAAATATATTATCGATATTATATATATTTAATTTTATTTTATAAATGAATCAAGCAAAAATAATTTGATGAAATCTTTGTAAATTTAATTCTTGATTCTTTGATTTAGGATTCATTGATCCCCGTGCATCATTCGATCGATCGATCAGGCCATCAATATTCAATTGATTCTTGATGAAGGACCTGCTTGGATTCCGACCACAGCGGTAGAACTTATTTGGTCTACTAAAAGCCTATTTGATTTGAAGATCTGTGTTGCTCCCTTATTCCTGTTGGAAGCACACTTGCAGTGATATCTGCAATCAACCTCCATTTGGGTTCATTTTTGTGAATTGCCTTCTATGTTCTTCGTGGTTGACCAGAAATTCAGATTCATCGCAATTATTGGCCTTCATGCTCCGGTAACGTGGATTTGGACCTCAATGTAGCCAGTATTTCGTGCGCCTTGCATATATATCATATATGAAAATATCCATATTCAAATTCTCGTCTTGAATGCCATATATATCAAGATTGGATTGCAAAATTGTGCGCCACCACCTTGTATCATGGCCTCCGACTTAAAGATGATTGCAGACGACCAATCCTATTAGGATTTATTATCGACATACGGGGAATATTTCTCCAAGAGAATCGAGGAAATCCCCCATCCAATAGACGGAAGCCAAATGACCCGAGATCACTCCAAAAGACCTCCGATGCCTCGGATTCAACATCCACCGGGTCTGGGAAGCAGGCGGATTTACATCGATAAATCTGGACAGATCCTTTTTGATCTTTGCCCAACGCGGTCCTAGCAATCTAAATCCAATTATTGGAATGATCCCGATTTTAGAACCTTCGGAAGCAGGCCGGGGAGGCCACCTAACCCCTTACGACAAACCTTGTTCCAGGAGATAATATAAGCTCTAATCGATCGCGCTGGAAAATTCCGCCTGGATCAAAGCGAGGACGAATTTATGAAGATTCTGATCTCGAGGGGAATCCTTATATCTAATCGCAAATAGAACTACCTGACATAGGATGCAAAAGCCTGCAACGACTTCAGATCTTGACGAAGAATCCCTAGCTTGTGCATCGCTTTGCAGCTCTACGGCCCCTGAAGCAAGATACTCTTCCACAGGACGCGGCTACGGCTATTCCTTAGAAATTAAAGATTTCATTGCATACAATTCAGGGAAGCGAGCTGGAATCACCCAGCAGCTTGCTTTGAATCACTCAATTTGCTTTGTTTCGGATTCGCCCGACAGGTCTACAGAGATTTCCTTTGGCAACAGCCATCTCCCACAAGCTGAGGAAGTAATTGCTTGGATGCGCACCCATATTCTTTTTTCGAAAGGAGCCACCTACTACTTGAACAGCACGCTGCAAACGCAGGTATGGACACTGGCCATGATTGAGCCTTTCACCCCTGAAGATTGGGATGTATGGACGGCTCCTCTCCCACGCCTATTCACGTGTTCAGAGCTTAGACCGCTAGATCCATGCCGGGTTAATTTCCTAGGTGATTGCGCCTTGTGCTCACCTGATGCCAATATTTGTATTCTTCGAATGTTATTCCGATCTTGGCTGTAAGAACATGTGTTCGGTCAGCTAACACCGCCTTTCGATATGCGTCAGGTCTTCAAATCGAATGGGTGCCATACCTCATCATTGTTAGAATGACCCACCTAAAAGAAGATTCAACGATAATTTTCATTCAAGAGAAATATTTTTAGATAATAATTTTAAACCATCCAATAAAAAAGATGCGTATAAATGAATTTTGCCGGAATATCTACCTCCTATGATTAATTCCTCAGGATTTCTTTAATCGCCTAACATAAAGCAGACCACTTCCTACTCTATCACTAAATTCATTGGCGACTATTACAACTCAATTAGCACAGTAAGAAAATTATAATCTTCGTTAATTGTCGTTTAATTTTTATTTCCAATCTATATTAATATAATTATTATTCCTAAAATAATTTCAAAACATAAAAAACCCGTTAATTTAACCTTCCATTAGCCCAATACGACCGAATTTTATCTATTCATTTAAAGAAATATATAAATTAATCTAAATAAATATTATTATTAAATAAAATATATTAATATTTTCTTATTTATATTTTCTTTTTTATTTATATTAATTTATTTATCTATATTAAAAATATAATTCTAAAAATATAAAATTATTCAAAATTATAATTATATATATTATTTAATTAATTTTATAAATATATATATATGATAATAATATATTTAAAAAAAAAAAAAGAAAATATAGAATATAATATGTTTTCTATATTCGAATCGAATTATGAAATCAATATTTATTTACAATATTATTCCGGCAAAAGATCCCAAATAATATATATAAGGTCTATGAGCAGAAAGTCTAGAAATCTAGACGCATTGGGGTCCAAAGAGGTGATGGTAGTGAGGGAGTGTGAGCGTGAGTGAAAGTGGGAGAATGAGTGCGAGGGTGAGTGAGAGTGAGTATAGGTGAGAGTGAGAGTGAGGTGAGTGTAAGTGTGAATGAGTAAATAAGAGTAAAGGTGGGTGTTAGTAAGTGTGGGTGAGAGTGAGTGTAAGTATGAGTGTGAGTGTGAGTATGAGTGCGAGTGCGAATGCGAGTGAGAGTGAGAACTTGAGGCCAAGGGAGGGGGGTGAAAGCTAGTGCTCCAGAATGGGAAAGTGGAGGGCAGCGAGGTAGGAAAAAACACGGCGCTCTTTTTGGAGGCAGGGGTGAAGAGTCCTTTACATGTGGCTCTTTGCCCGGATCCTCCTGCGAGAGAAGAGAGAGAAGAGAGACGGAAAGACGAGAGACAGAGAGGAGAGAGAGAGAGAGAGGAGAGAGAGATGAGAGAGATGAGAAAGAGATGAGAGAGAGATGAGAAAGAGATGAGAGAGAGATGAGAGAGAGATGAGAGAGAGATGAGAGAGA